GGGTAGGGTTAGATAGCGTCATCTAACTGATGTTAAAGGGTGCCCTAAAACATCAGATGTTGACGTATGGTCAAAAGCGTCAGTTAGATGACGTCTTGGGATGAGAACGCTGTTGAGGTTGAGGCTTGTCCAAAAAATCCTCGAATGTGTGGTGTCATTACTATTATTTTACTGCTCCCTATAGCCTATAAGTCGTAAATATCAAACACGTTTTATATTTACGACTCTTGATCGGGCTGACATGATACCCGCGATAGCCAATGAGAGGGAGCAAGCGTCACCAACCAGATGTTGAGTGCTTCTTTAACTGAAACTTGGCAGCCACAAACATGCCATGAAAGTGGAGTATTGAAAGAGAAGATGGTCATCAGCCCCTTGGGGATCTTCAGCTTCGCTCAGATGGTCTTCAGCCCCATCAGCTCCGCCATAGTGGTCCTCAGCTACGCCTTGGGGGTCTTCTGCTTCTGATGTGTAGTGAAAATGTCCCGGACAGGTGTGTGTATGCTGTTTAAACGAGTCCACTAACAGATAAGCTTCTTGTCTGGAGTTTTGATGAGCTTTGTAGACTTGATATTGTTTCTTATTAAAGTGGTGAATAAGAGGATTTGTCGTGCAGGGTTTGGTTATAATATGTATTACCATAGCTGCATATAAAAACAATGGCATTCTATGAACTGTTCCTATTTACCGTAGATAGCTAAGTGTGTGTGTGTGTGTGTGTGTGTTATTTCTGTTTTTTTCTGTAGTCTGGCACCATTAATGCATATCTGTTAGACCTGCATGAGACACTGTCTCGTTGCCTTTGGGCCCCTCCCCCTCTTTTTATTTATTTATATGTATCTCTCTTTCTCTCTTTCACACACACACACACACACACAGACACATTGTTTTTGGCATGTGTTGCATGTGACGCAGGATAACAATAGCATGGCTATTGTTAGTGCGGACCACAGCTGAGAAGAAGGCCTTTGAAAGGAAGAGAACCATAAGGTCAGAGGCTTAGGAAGGTAATCTAACCATTTCTAAAATTTCATACCGGAAAAATCTAGTTTGCTTGTGTAATGTGAATACATACAGCAGGCCCACGAAATGTCTAGGATGCTGTCACTCTTGGTTCAATTGCTTGGTATAAAACCAAGTTCAGTTCCTTTCCCCTCCACATTTGCCTGCTGGTCTCTGAGCTCAATTGCTTGACACGCATAAATAAACCTCATTAGTTCTCACACATCAACCAAGCATGGTTTCAAAATGCACAAAAATCGGATTTGGACTGACAGTGTGAAAGTAGTCTGAACCCAGAGATTTAAACCGCTTAATTTATATGGATTATTTTTACAAGTTTTACAAAAATCGTAATACAAAACAAGTATTGGTTAAGTTTTATAAGTTTTTGTTACCTTTTTGAAGCATCAAAATTTCATTGGAGGGACATAATTCTATCAGGTTTGATTAAAAATAGAATCTCTTCGTTTGTGTTTCAAAGATGAACAAAGGTTGTTGAAACATTTGTACACTGCAAAAAATGATTTTCTTACTTATGTTTTCCATATCGAATCACGCTAACTCATTGGCTGATGGCAGTAAAGTGACACCCATGTTGAATTACCTGCAGATGCATCTTGAGACATGAGCGAGGTCTTCAACGTCGGATGGAATATGTGCCTGTGGTAACAGTCTCTTGCATTTTCAGGCAAGTCATATTGCTGTTTGGGATCTCTCAACGGTTTTAGAGGTGCTGAGGTGCTCTCTCATTTGTATCAGATAAGGCTTTATCTCTTGAAATGTCTTATCTTTTGGCTTCATTTAAGAAAGTTGGTGACCTGAATGGACTTTGATCCAGGAATATCAAGATTGTCTCTACACCTATTAGATCCTTTAGGTCTAAAGTTATTACTTTACAGACCATCTCCCCTGTTTGAGTCAGAGGAACAGTTACAGTTACAGTTGCATAAGCTCTTTCCACTCAAGGCTTTGAAGACTTATATTGACCATTCAATCAATGGCACAAATCCGATCAAATTTTGCGTGCTTTGGTGGTCGCAGCAGAGGTTATGTGGTCTCCAAATAGAGACTATTGCATTGGCTGGTTGGAAACTGAAAAGGAAAAAAAGGAATTCTAGGCCCTATGGGTTTAAAGTTACACCATCAGTGCATCTTTGACCCATTGGTGACGCTATAGGGTTTGAAAGACCTACAGGAACGTTTTTCAGTTCACTTTGAAATTAATTTTTGATATGTTGATAAATCTCCATTATATGACTGATAGACAACAACGGTTTGACCTAAAAATATCAAAATTGAAAATACTGTGGAAACAAAGACACCTGCATCTTGGATGCCCTTGAGGTAAGCTAAAACATATCAAAAATTAATTTCAAAGTGAACTATCTCTTTAAAACTCCGACCACCCCCCACATCTGTACCGATTTTCAAAACCTCTTACAAAATGGTTTTCCGTAGGTGTAGCCTTTATTTTGAAGCTTATAGTGCTGATCGACTAATGGTTCACTTGATTCAAATTGTATGCACTTTCTGTAGTGATAAATAGTTTTACAAAGCTTTAGTTGACATGTGGTTTAAGAAACCACAGCTGTAGTTGATCATGGTGTGAAGTCTTAATTTTAAACATCTATTGTTTATGTAGGCTAAATATGTTTAGCCTAGGCTACAAACATAATCCTAACAAACTTTTTTTTTTGTTTGTGACATGTTTTGTTTGAACACAATATTGTGCCCAAGTCATTCAGCCTATTTAAATGTAATGGAATTTAAATGTAATGTAAATGTAAATTTAATTTTAAAACACAATCTTTTTTTAAGTGTTATAGCCTACTGATATGACAGCCTAATATAAACAAACAATAACTCGTCAAAAGTCGTCAACGCACGGAGCAAGCATAAAATGTACCGATACTCCTGTGCACCATGGCTATATTTAACAGCCCCTGTCGCCATAAAAGGTCGTGAGAGTCGCCTGGACATTCCTGCCATTGCCAATATTATTTTTGTTGTGTGGACAGCAGCTCCCGTTCTCAGCGCAGTGCCAGTTTGCGTCTTTGCTTGGATTTGGATCTTGGTTGAGTATTCCTGACGCGCTGCTCTCCGATCCGGCTCTGAGCTGTTTGCAGACCTTTGGCAAGGTGAGATGATCCGCTGCATGAACGCATGAGGTTTGTCAGGTGAAATCGATTTGTCAGGAGTTTTTGTTCTTGTGAACTTTACAATTGATAGCCTACCAAATCCGTACTAGTTTAAGGAAGAGGTGAGCTGTCAAAAATAATAGCTAATCATAAAAATCGAAAAGATATTTATTTTACACGTAAAATATGGTGGCAGTGGGAACCTTATGCTTTATTGTTTTGTTTGAAATATTTAGAAATATCTAAAGAAAAAAAAAAAACATCTACCACAACATCTAGCCTATACCGTCTTTTTAACGATAAAACAAACTATGAATTTTAGGCAACTATGCAATATCAATGTGTGAAATTAAAATGTCCTGAGAACAGTAGCAGTCACTATTTCATTAGTTGTACTTACCAGTGTGTTCTCAGTACTCATACTCAGCAGCAGGCTATATATAAAAGGCTAAATGTATATGCGTGTGTGTATGTATATATATATATATATATATATATATATATATATATATATATATATATATATATATATATATATATATTATATATAAGTTAACAACATAAAAACGAAAAACCCATTCAATTAGACACATATTGTTTGTTTAAAAAGAGTTAAGTATTAACCTGCTAGGGGGAGCAGGGCACAACATAACACTTTTTGACTTTCTCAGTTTGTGTAAATCTACTTAGGGTTTAGAGTATTTATTTTCCCCCACATGTTTTGTACAATTATGTGGTTTTGTTTTATTAATACAGCGTTTACTTTTTTCTTGATATACCCCGAAAGAAAAATGAAATGTGACAACGTGCCCCATAGGTGGGGTAGCTATATTGTAACATGTGAAGGGCATATTGTAACATCACCATATAATAGCTTAAAATGTTAAATGATCTAATAAAAATGTATACAATTCAAACCAAAATATTTTCTCAATAAAATACAATTATTAACTTTTTCATGTAAAATAATGGAATTTTTTAATAATTATAAATTAACATATTTTTTGAGTTTGACGATAAACACAACGGAAAACACAATACAATAATACAGCAATACAACATTGACTCTCAGTCTTTATTTTAATTTTTCTCATGTTTTCACAATATAATTAATAAAAGTATAGAATAAAATATCTTATTTCTAATAGGGGCACATGTAACACCCATGCAGTGTTACAACATTCCTCATATGTACAACTGGGATTTAATCCCTGCGTTTTTTGCAAGTTAGCGAAGCATTAAAGAACTATATAAACTGTTAAATAACATATTGGAGATTCATATCAGATTTATCTAATTTTAAATAAACACAAAAAATAGAGATGAAAAATTAACATTAGTAAGAAATGTAATTTTGCCATAAATGTTCAGTGATATCTTACAAAGATTTCAGCATTTTTTTCTCTATATAGTGTTGATATAAGTTTCGTCATGCTGGCATGTGTGCCCCGCTCTCCCCATACATAACGGAGTCGTCTATTTGACGCCCGTGTTTACATCTGGTAGACATATTTTTTAGAGAGTTTGCTTATCTGCAATACGTCTTTAGGACGTTTCCTGTTAGATGTCAAATAGACGTTTAGAAAATGTCTATAAGATGTTAGTAAACAGCAGTTGCTTTATAGATAAAGAGATATTTTACTTGCAGACGTACGTGAGCTAACAGAAAAAAAAAGTAATCTACAAATTGACATTAAACTTAATTCTGTGCAAATTTATTGTGAAGTTAAAGCGCTGATAAATCTTTCCTGTGAAATTATTACTGATAAATCACTGGGTGCGATATTCATATTTGCTATGTTGTTAGAAAGTTTTAAATCTTCTGACTAAAAGAGATTCATATCTGAAGACAGTATCTGAGCTAAAGAGGACACAATGTCGGGATCGATACCATTCTACCAGAAACACCACCGCCATTACGATCGTGGCTACCGTAGCCGGCAGGCGGAGTCTGCTATCAGCCAATACCAGCAGAACGCTAGTAGTTATTCTTCTCATAGCAGCAAAAGCACCAAGGGGTAAGAGAGCATGGCAAGATCAACTGTAAATCCTTCCCAGTCCCATTACTTTAACTCATTCTAGCAGCCAGCTCATCGTTATCCCCTTACCTGTCTTTAAGGTGCGGTCACGTTTACCGTTTCTTGCTGAAAATTTGTGGGCGAAATCCAGTCATTTCAATAGGGATCCATGTGTTTAAATTCCCCTCGCAGATCATAAGCTGTTCATGCATCATCGCAAGATGCCATGACTTTTTTGCCTGTGAAATTTTCCCGCCATTTCGTAAATGTGACCGCAGCTTTATCCTTCACATAAAGACAAAAAATACCAACTACTGTTGGCCTACTTGTTTTGTTTAATCTGTGCTAATCAGTTTTTCCCACCCAACCTTAAATCTTCCTTAAAACGTGCAATTGATAAGAGTATTCTGCATGCAGTGTGCTTGTTGCTGACACTTACAATATCCTTCGGTTGACTATCATATTTAAGAAGGCGTGGGCCTACTGTATTAGCATTTCTTTACAAAATAGTTCCATTTGGAGTAGGTTCTGCTTAACTTTGACTTAACTTTGGTTCCTAGATAGACTGCTTCTTGATTCAAAACTTGGTGTGAATCTTTTTAGGCCTTTCTGTGGTTTGGATCCATGCCTACACTTTGTTTGATTTACGTCAGGTCATGTGACTGTTGGCTCATGTTTGTGTAGGCAGTTGCTTTCTGGGTCACTCTGAATGTCAGAATGTAAGGTTATATCTTCTGTCTTGTTTGGGACTAATGTTACTGTACCCACAAGAATTTTACAACAATCTGCACATATTAAAATCTTTCAAGGCTCATGATTTTATTGGTTTCTTGGTTTCTTAATCTCGATTTCATGCCGTAATATAAATAACATTCATAACATAACTTGGCACTTCATTTGGTGTTCTTGACGTCATGGTGTATTTATAGAGGCCACAGAAGCAGATTTGATTATGTGTGTCATATGCATTATGCATTAATCATTTTCTGAGTCGTTGTATGTAGCCTATACTGTATGTGTGTGTGTGATTTAGAGTTATTGTTATTGGCAGTCCCTCGTTCCAAGAAGTCAAAGGGTGACTGAGCGTTTACAGTAGTTGCTCCTAAATTGTGTAACAGTCTTCCACTCTATATTCAGCAGGCTCATCTATAAAGGGTTTTTGGTCTCAGTTGAAAACGTATCTTTAACACTGTAGAAGTTTGTATAATAACACTTACAGTAGTTGCTTAGTTGGAGCAACTAAAACAGTTAGTTGCTCCAGATGAACCACTTATATTTCTCATTTGTACATCACTTTTGATAGCCTAAAATTTTCTGCTAAATGAATAAATGGAAATGTAAGATAGGTTGCCCTTTTAAGCACTGCTTTCCAAATCCACCAAACATTCCTCCATCCCAAAGGCCAATCATTGAGAGTGTGGTTTGGACAGCCAGAATACCAAAATGTTACCAATGTTTCGTATATATATTTAAATACATAGAGGTTTCAATAAAATTATTTTAGTCAGTATAGGCAAGTAATTTCGAAACTTACGAAAATGTACGAAAATGTTTTTATTTAATTGCAAATAGCATGCAATTAAGTGTCCGAAAGCATTATATTCAGTTCACACTTGAGGATATTCTATTATTTCCGTATTATTGCACGGCTCTGTGGAATACTTGATTCTGATTGGTCAATCGCACCATCCAGCGGTACATAGCAACTGCTGAAAACTGATAACACCGGGTTACTGAAGTTGGCTGTCTACGTTTGCTAGCGTTTTTTCTTCGTGGACGTTGTGTTTGGTGAGCTAATAAAATATTTACTCAGTCAAATCAATATTTTTTGTAGTTATTTAATTATGCCATCCAGTATCGTGGACTCGCTCTCTCTTGTTTCATGCTGCTGCCATTTTGCGATGATTGTTTTGTACACTGTTGGATTAGATACAGGATTTTAAAACAGTTTCATCTCAAATTAATGTCTCTTATCACTATATTCCCAGACAGCTACATAGTGTCTGCCCAGATCCAGCCCACATCTGGCAAGCATTGAATCCACATGTTCTGGATGTGGCCCGGATCTGGGTAGACACTACTACCCCTTTTCCACCAAAAAAAGAACTGGTTCGAAACTGGTGCTGGTTCAAAATTGGTTCGAAGTTGGTTCAACTTGCGAACCGCTTCAGAACCTGTTTGTTTTTCCACTGACTAGAGCGCCCAGGGAACGACTTCGTTCCGTCACTGTGTACGTCGAAACACAAAGAACTGGTACCGCAGGCACCGGCTCCGAACCGGCTCTCAAAATGCTTTGGTGGAAAAGGGGCTTATGTTGCTGGGTTATTTATGTGGCGAAATGATGTGTAATAAGTAGTATGACTACAGCTACTGTATCCCTTAAATGTCCATCTTGTTTGAACTTGCCGTGCTAGCGACTGGTCTCTCCGTGGAAGCTTTGCGTTTAAAGACCTAATAAAAATATTTAGATTCAGATCAATATTTTGTGTCAGCCGGCTGTTATCTCAGAATAAACCACTTTAGGGCAGGCTGATGCAAGATAACAACCAGTTATATGTACATTATCCCTTGTAGTACTCTTTTTAAATATAGGCTATGCTAAAGTGTACTTTTTCACAAAGGGATAAGCAAACAGACCTTGTTGAAACTTTTGTTTTCAGCCTGAATCCCTCTTTTCATGAGCTGTGCTGTAGAGGATTTTAAGCAGGATTTGGGGTGTCGCAGGATGGCAGGTCGGCACAAATGCTCCTGTTTAAACCCCATTACTCATGTTATCCACTGTTATACATGCTCCCAATTGTCTAAACTAAAATATTTTCCATGCTGGGAGAATATAGTTTTGTGAATCACTTTAGCTGTCCTAGTTCCCCCCCCACCCAATCTCTTCTGAACCCTTGAATGTCTAAATATACACACTCATGAGAGGCATGGATAAGATAGTGATATGTGAAGGATATATGAAGTGTCGGCTATATGTCATCTAAAGCAGTGATTCTCTAACAGGGTGACGGGACCCACTATGGGCCTCAACTTGTAAGGGGGGCTCAAGATGACTAAAAACCAAGATATTTCTTATTAATTGATCTTTTTTTAATATAATGAACATATATGTTAAAATATAAACTAGCTATGCCAAGCTCTCAGCCATTTTATTGGGTAGAAATTGTGAATGAGAGGGGGCCTAATTGTATTGTATGATGAGATTCGCTGTTCTAAAGGCATGAGTGTAAGGATGGGGCAGAGGAATAAGGATCTACATGATGTAAACAGAATGCAAATTCACAAAATGTAAATCTGAGCAGTCTATTTTGTAGTAACTAGCATGTGAATCAATATTCAGGTGATTACCTCTGGTGGTGAACTTCAGTGCAATGGATATGCTTTTTCATTTTCATTTTTTTATACATTTTCATTTAGCAGATGTCTTATACAAACAGCCTAGAAACTTGGTAGCCTACAGAGATGTAGTTGAGAGCTTTTTAAAGACCCCATATAGTTTTCATCTTGTTGTAAGCGATTCATCGCTGCATATCACCCTCCCCTCCAACCACTTGTTTTATTGAAAGCACTACACAAAATCAAAATCAACAGAAAAGTTAATTTATTTTTGCATTGAATATCCTGTTGAAAATCTATTTAAATTTAATATCCTTTAAGCCCGGAACACACCAAGCCGACGGCGACGAACTAGCGCTGATGAAAGCCGACTGTGTTGTCGCCTCTCATCTGCTCTCGTCGGGGTAAAACACTTTCTTTATTCCACTCCGCTCATGTTAATATTGAAATATTCGCCAAAGGAACACTCAGGTAACATAAGAACAGCCGTCTATCTTTACCGTTTTGACTTCTTTGCTTGCTGTTTTGCTTTTATTCTCGTGCACTGACTCGTTCACTAAGCTGGACAGCCAATCAGAGTTCTCTCTTTCCCCGACGGCCTGACGCCGATTCAACATGTCGAATCGGGCGAAACAAAGCCGACGAGGACTATTAAGCCGACGGCACGGAACCATGTGTAGCCTATCACACCGAGGAAACTTAATTTGCCGACGCACAAAACTGCCCGACGGCCGACCGTCGGCTTGGTGTGTTCTGGGCTTTAAATGTAGGCTAATTGCGAATAGTAACAGTATGTGCTTTTATACAACACATCAAAATAAGTGCAGTTCTTTAAAGCAAGACAAAAGATTAAAACATAGTGATTTAAACTGTCCTGCAAAGAAAAACTTAAATGTTATATTATTACAAAGTGCACTTAAGAGAGTTAAGAAACATAGTCGTGAAAATGTGCTCCGTTTAAGTGGCCTTGTATTTGACTAATATTTCATTATCTGCATAGCATTTTTTTTATTATTATACTTAAAAGATGTTAAGTAGTAAATATTCAAAATATTCATTATAAACAATATGACAAAATAATTATTAATTATAAAAGAATGTCTGTTTTCTGACAAATGTTATGTTAAAAACACACAAAAAAAGTGTTTAGGGTCACTAGCAACCCGAGGTATGTAATGCTGTAAGTGTACTTATATTTTTTCTTCATAGCAATTAAGTATGATGATTTAATAAGCTCAATTCACCTTTATTCCTCAAGGTGCCAATGTTTGATACACAGTGATTGCATTGCGTGAGTGATCAAAATATTGATTTTTGAAGACATTGAAAATGATAGTTTTGAGAATATGTTTGAGTTTGCGAGTCAGGGAAATGAGCTCTAAAATGACATTGACAATGGTAAAAAGCATCTGCACAAATTGAACCCTTTCAAGTTTTGAAAGATAACGAAAAATACTTTTATTCTTTTGTAATTGCTATTAGAATATCAAGAGAGTTTTATGGCATTTGCGGCAGTTAGAGATCCATCCGGGTTGCTGAAAACCCAAAAACGTAATAATGTTAGGCAGATTCATGCATTTAAGGGTTAATGAAGTAAAACGGGTTGCTAATGCTGTTGTGTGTTGATTCATTTAGTAGAGTAGAAAAGTAGATTTTTGTTAAATGTTCTGTGGAGATTGGGCCTCTGAAAAGCATTCCACTATTGAAAGGCACTGTGAAAGTTCATAGAGGTTCTACTTCAATTTTTTTTTTACCATTGGTGAAGTTTTTTGGTGCTTTGATACATTTCAGGTCCTGTTATAAGACCACTGAGGCGATTAACCTCCTTCCCACTCACTATCTTAACATTCTTTCCTCTCGCTCCCATAACAGTCTTTCTTCATCATGACACCACACCCCTTCTAAAAATCATAATAGTGTGTGAAAGAAGTGCTGGATACTCACCGATGTGTGTGTATGTTGCCATTTCTGCATCATTGTAGCATTAGGGCTGCCACATACATGTCTCTAGAAGAGGGGGGGATTAGCCCTCTGCCCAAGAGAGCCAAGCCAACCTATCTCGCCATGGACAAGGAGAACCAGATCATCGGTTATGTGGTGCCCATCTTCAGGGGCAGGTAATAAAAACAGTGGGTTTTCTTAGTGTTGGAACTTGGAACAAACACATGATGCAGCTGTTCTGTACTTCACATTTTCCATTGTTAGCATGCATTGGGGTTAATAGCAGGCATTGCAATAATATGCACATGCCTTCAAACAAGTCCCATTTACCTACACTCACAAAAAGGCTTCACATATGATTTTACAGTCAGAGTCAGATTCCATCGAAGAAAGGTATCATGGTTCTTTAACCCTTGTGAGTAAGAAGTACACTTAGCCTTATAGTTTCAATAGCAATTCAACAAAAATAGTTAACATTTGTATTAAATGTAATTAGCTGAACTTTAGAGTGCTTTTTATGACCCATCTATATTTGAAGACTTCAGATGCAAAAGCCTCTAAGTGTGAACGTAATTTACCACACGTTCCTGGATCAACTTTCCAATCAACCAATCAGATTTGAGGGACAAGTTTAAAGTTAATGTAATGTCAAGATTAGGCTTAGAACCAGAGTGAAGTACTTAAACCTTATTGTTATTCACCTATAATTATCCTCTGATTTTAGGGAAAAGTTATGGGTAGGGTTAGGTTTAGGGGTTGGGATTGGGTAAGGACTACATTTTGGGACAGTAATGTTGATCCAGGACCATGTCTTACTTCATCAATGCCGTCATTATGTGCTGAGACTAAATCCCACTGAGTTTGAAATGAAAGTATTTGATGAACGTATAGTAGAGCATCTTATTTTTGACATAGGTGACTTTTAGAGGCTTTTGCATCGGAGGTCTTCATTTGTAATTTTATAATTACATTTATTGTCTTGGAAAGATGGTTAAAGTGTACTGCTGAATGCACTGATAAGCACTTATGGTAAACTAAAATATTCTTTAATGTAATTCCTTTTTAAAATATGTATTTCTTGTATATAAATATTTGTATTTATTAGGGCTGCATGTGCAAAAATTAATTGCGATTAATTGCATTCAAAATAAAAGTCTGTGTTTACATAATATATTTGTGTGTGCTGTATATAATTATTTTGTATATATAAATACACACATGCATGTATATATTTAAGAAAATGTGTTATTCATATCTAAAATATTTATATTTATCTAATATAGATTATGTATTTATACATACAGTATATACAGAATTTAAGCGCAAATAATTCTTAAATATATACATGCATGCATAGGTATTTATATATACAAAATAATTATATACAGCACACACAAATATATTATGTAAACACAGACTTTTATTTTGGATGCGATTAATCGCAATTAACTTTTGCACAGCCCTAGTATTTATACATTTGTAATGATAAAGGTGCAATTTAATATATTTTAAATGTCTTAACTGTAGATTAAATATTGACACATTTATTATAATAAAGTCATTTTATATGTGCACTAATATGTTAGTCAACACATCAAAGAAAGTGTGCTTCTTTAAAGCACACCGAAAGATTATTAAAACTTAAAGGTTTGACTTTAAATGAAAACTTTTCATTTGACATTAGGCTATATAAATTGTATTCTCTAAAAATTGCTGGGTTGTTTTAACCCAACTTTGGGTAAAATATGGACAAACATTTTTTTATTATTACATTTTTAACCCAACATTTGTCCATATTTGACCCAGTGTTGGGTTAAAACAACCCAGCATTTTAACTGTTTTAAGCAGTTTTGAACGTTTACTCTATTTAAGTACGCTTAAGTGACCTTTTATTTAATTAATATTATATTATCTTCAAGTATTTTTTATATACTGTTAAGGTTTGAAATGCACTACAAGTGCACATTCAGTACATTTAAGTGCACTTCTTTTTCACAGGGGAAAGCCTTTGATGGAACCTTTCATTTAACTTTGAGTAGAGAGAACCATTCAGCTAGAGTAACTTTGGCCAAAATGGTTCTTGGTAGGAAAAGTTATTTCAAAGGACCATTGATTAACCTTTATATTTAAGGGTGTATATGGGAAGATATTGGAAGTTCTCTTAAATAACACAGATGTAAAGTGGCATTCAGCTTCTTTTTTTTTTTCAAAAACCCTTGTGTATATATGCGACAGAATATGTGTTGTACTGCTTTGTTTAATTCATGAGTGAATATGATGATCTCCCCTCAGTCATGAGTTTCAAAGTGGCCTATCAGACACTGAGGAAGCGCGTGCTAAAGAGAGTGCTGGCTATCTGGCACGCCGTGACCTCTTCTCTAGCGGAGTGGAGTCGGAGCGCACCGAATACAAGTCCCGCAGAACCGTCATGAGGGAGTCTGCCGAGCGCATCTCCCTTAGCAAGAGGGTCAGTGGAGATCCTAAAGTCCTGTTCCTAAACACATAACTCATGATTACGGTTTTAAAAATGCTTTTCTCTTGATAACCATTCTAAATGAATGACTATTTTTCAAGTAACACTTCTCACTTAAATTTATTACAACTACAAACTGTTGAACTGAGCTGCATCACATGTTTGACAGCTCCCTTGCTCAGTTCCCTTGTGAAAAAGAAGTACACTTAAGCAAAACTTTATTTTTTACTTATTACGGAAACAATATGCTTTAAAGAATATGCTTAAGTGCAAATTTGATGTGATATTTTTCGGACACTTAATTGCATGATCTATTAAAGTCTTAAAATGACATTAAATGCAATTAGCTGAACTTTAGTGGGGTTTTTTTTGACCCACTTAAAGTAGGTCTTAAGTATATCTTTACATAAATATAATATTAATATTACATATAATTTCATAAATACTTAAAATGTACTGCCGAATATTCTTATACGCCATTTCTAATGACACTTACATGTCATGTATTTAAATATATTTGTAATAACACATTGGTAAATTTGATAAAAGTTGTAATTTGTTACATTTAAAATATATTAACTTTAAATGTAATATCAAAGAACACACTACAGATAAAATTATAATTAAATACTTTACATGTGCATTAGTATGTTAGTCAACACATTAAAATGAGTGTACTTTAAAGTGCGACAAAACATTATTAAAATAATATTGATTTAAAAGTATACTTAAGTGTATACTTAACTTAGTGTGAAGTACACTTAAGTGGTCGTTTTTATCAGTAATATTATATTATCTGCACGTACCATGTTTTTTATTATACTTTTAAGATTTAAAGTAGGCTACACATTTAATAAAACAATTAAGTACACTTCTTTTTCACAAGGGATAAGCATCACTACGATATTTGAATCACCTAACCCATGTATTAAACTTCAGTGTATAACCTTTTCTGCACAATTTGTGCAATGGACTTAAATTGTATGTCTAATGAATGACAAAACAATTAAAACATTTCATCTTGACATTGACATAAATTGAAAATGTTATATAGCAACAAGAATACCCAGAGGTGGGCTTGTTTTACTGCCAGTATAGCAATCCATAGCAACCACGTAAAGCAAGCTTATCAACCGAATAGCAACTGTATAGCACCAGAAATTTTATTTAGAAAATGTAGCCTATTTTATAATTATTTTTTAGTAACATTAGATGTTTTTAAACTGTTACAACAACAAATTCATACATTTGCAAACTGATTGTCCCACTCAACAAAAAAGGTGAACATTTTATTTTTTGGGAATCAATTGTGCAACAGGAGACTTGCATTAGTGAATTGCTTTCATCGTAGGTTAGACCTTATGTAGCCCCGCCCCTTTTCAGCATTGTACTCGTTGTCTTTTGACTTCCGGTCTGTATTTCCACAGCGATCTTGCATAGGTATGAATGACTGCTCGTAAAAAAATTCCCGTTCGACATTTGTTAAGACATCTGCTTTATAATGCTTATGATAAACATTACAATGCTGATGATAACTTTTGTTAACAATAAGTAAATCCACTTCACCAGCTAATTTCTCCTCGAGCGATGCCATAGAAATATACAGAACCGGAAGTTCAAAGACAATATTCTAAAGATGACGGCGCCCACGTTTCTCTGGTGCATAAGGTCTAGCCTATATGTTCCCTATTTTTAGATAGGAAAAAGAGCAAGAAAGTATCAAGAACCAAACTTTATTTAGTTCTGGTCCTGGTGCCAACAAACTATGCCACCGTGGTGCCAGATTTCAAGGGTTGTAATGTTTTATGTGGATGTGTGGTGTTGCGTTAATCTGTGGTTCGTGTTAAAGTGACGATGAAACTACTGTTGTCGACAAGTGATGTGCTGATAGCTGAGGGAAGCCTTGAGGAGATCACAATTACACGGACATGACTGGACAAATAGAAGCAATGACTTCAAGGAGGCACTCGATCCATGAGTCCTGGTGAAGAACTAATTAGACATGCTCCATACATTTTGTCTACATATTATGCAAATAGAAGATTCCTCATTAGAAAAGTTCCTTATTACACTCTTTGTTCTGACAGGATTTGTGGCAAGGGATAGCTTACCATTGTCAATAACCCGGTTTGTAAAAACAAAAGTCATAACAATATAATGGACTTTGGGGAAAGGCATTCTGGGGGGGGGGGGCAATACTATGCATTGTAGCAATACTAGTAGCAATACTATGCATTGCTACTAGTTCCTCTGGGTGGATTTTCTTTTTGTTTACAATCATTTTCTGGTAAACCAGCTTAACACTGGCTTGTGAAAAAGAAGTGCGCTTAATTGTATTAAATGTGACTTGAAGTGTACTTCAAAGAAATCTTAAAAGTATATATATATTTTTAAACTGTACTTCTAGATAATATAACATTAATAAAATAAAAGGCCACTTAAGTGTGTACACTTTCATGACTATGTTTCGTAACACACTATTAAAATGTACACTTTGTAATTATGTGAAATTAAAAGTTTTACTGTAAAGTACAACGTTTAATTACACATGTAAATTTACAAGCACATGTAAATTACTAATTATAATTTTAGTTATTCAATATTACATGTTAAGTAAATATATTTTACATGTAGGCCTATAATTGCAACTTCATTTTGTATACGTGTCATTACAAATATGTTTAAAATGTGTTTTACAAATATTAATATTCATTGTATGTATAAAAATCCTACTAATAATTCTGCTGATAGCATTGAAATTAATTTTAAATTCATTTTGATTGCTATTAACATGCGATTAAGTGTCTGAACATTACATTCAATTCGCACTTAAGTAAATTATTTTAAAGTATGTTATTTTTGTAATAAGTACTATTTAGAAGTATGATAAAGTCTACTTCTTTTTCAAAAGGGATAGATATGACAGGAGCTGAAATATTTGACATTGCACAAACAAGTTTAGCAATGATTGTTTCTAATCACACATAACAAATTGTATTTTCAGAAAAGTTTATTTGAATATTTATATCTGCAAGGAAATCTTGCCAGATTTCTATAAGTGAATTACTGTATACATTTAATTTTTTACAAATCAAGAGGATTCATCGAAATCTTCTCGGCTTACCTTGAACACAGAACATACGTTTAGGCAGTTTGCATCTTAAAATAGTAACGTGTTTGGTCATAAATACCTTACAGTTCGTTTTTCAGCATGCTAATGCCTTTATGACCAAAGAATGTTGCCACTTTCTAAACAATACATGAATGGCTGCATTTCCTCAGATCCATGAGAACGAAGAGTACCATAAGCGTCTGAACGAGGACAGCCTGATGCACACGCCCGAGTTTGTGACCGCGCCTCGTTCCCACACTGTTTGGGAGAACCAGTGTGTGAGGCTGCACTGTACCATCTCAGGATGGCCTGAACCACGCGTCGTGTGGTGAGTTAGCATGCACAAACAAGCATGCACATAATGTATGTACACAAACACACATGCATAGACACATGTGTGCACGCTACTAATGATGACTGCATTAGGTCAAGAATAATATGTGACAAACAGTGTTTTTTTAGTATTGTAATATTCAGTTTGTATTAATGTTTTATTTATTTTTATATTTTCTGTTTTCATTTTATTTTTAGTTAGGTGGCGGGATAAATGCAGTACCTATTTCGACCATTCTTACATACTGCACCTTTAATGAAACTTAGCAAACTAGCAGCTCATAGGCTATAACGAAAAGATCTTGAAATCTGTCATGGAAACTAGCATGTATAAACCTTAATTAAAGAAATGAATAATCAGTTAATGTATATCCTATGTATAATAAATGTATAGCTACATTGGACCAGCTGTTTGGAAAATATGGATGATCAGCTGCGTTCATCTTCTGGAGAGACACAGGAATTCATTCAGCGAGCCTCACGGTGCATTATGGGTATTCTATAGCCGTTGAGCGTGATATACTGACAAATGAGAGAAAATAGGCGCAGCTGCTCATTTCCAGTACCATCATGACCAATGAAATCTACTAAAATAAATAATTCTCATGATTTGGGCAGCTCGGATTACATACCTTTTCCACAGCAGTTCACTCTGTTTCCGTCAATAATATTTTTAACAATAAGATGCATTTTGTACGGAGCACCCCCTAGTCCCACTTTGGCAAAAAAAATTAATTGTAACTATCTCGTGGCCTCAAGATAGTAACTCGTGGCCTCAAGATACTAACTTGTGGCCTCAAGATAGTAATTCGTGGCCTCAAGATACTAACTCGTGGCCTCAAGATACTAACTTGTGGCCTCAAGATAGTAATTCGTGGCCTTAAGATACTAACTCGTGGCCTCAAGATACTAACTCGTGGCCTCAAGATACTATCCCGTGGCCTCAAGATAGTAACTCGTGGCCTCAAGATACTAACTCTTGGCCTCAAGATAGTAACTCGTGGCCTCAAGATACTAACTCTTGGCCTCAAGATAGTAACTCGTCGCCTCAAGATACTATCCCGTGGCCTTAAGATAGTAACTCGTGGCCTCTAGGTACTAACTCGTGGCCTCAAGATAGTATCTTGTGGTCTCAAGATAGTAACTCGTGGCCTCAAGATACTAACTTGTGGCCTCAAGATACTAACTCGTGGCCTCAAGATACTAACTCGTGGCCTCAAGATACTAACTTGTGGCCTCAAGATAGTAACTCGTCACCTCAAGAAACTATCCCCTGGCCTTAAGATAGTAACTCGTGGCCTCAAGGTACTAACTCGTGGCCTCAAGATAGTATCTTGTGGCCTCAAGATAGTAACTCGTCACCTCAAGATACTATCCCGTGGCCTTAAGATAGTAACTCGTGGCCTCAAGGTACTAACTCGTGGCCTCAAGATACTAACTTGTGGCCTCAAGATAGTAACTCGTCACCTCAAGATACTATCCCGTGGCCTTAAGATAGTAACTCGTGGCCTCAAGGTACTAACTCGTGGCCTCAAGATAGTATCTTGTGGTCTCAAGATACTAACTCGTGGCCTCAAGATACTAACTCGTGGCCTCAAGATAGTAATTCGTGGCCTCAAGATAGTAATTCGTGGCCTCAAGATAGTAACTCGTGGCCTCAAGATAGTATCTTGTGGCCTCACGATAGTAACTCGTTGCCTCAAGATAGTAACTCATGGCCTCAAGATACTATCTCGTGGCCTCAAGATCTATCTTGAGGCCACGAGATTGTATCTTGAGGCCACGAGTTACTATCTTGAGGCCACAAGTTACTATCTTGAGACCCAAAGATAGGTATAATTAATTTTTTTGCCAAAGTGGGAGTAGGGTGGCTCCGTAATTTTGTCCATAGAAATGTGTCGATGTGACTAGCAGAAGTTTTGAGTGCACGTTGCGCAGACGAGACTAATATATAATGACATGTGTTGTCAATGATTTTTCATTATCGATTATTGTCGATGCTATCGGCTTAGGTGTTGCAGCCCTATTTCCATCTGTTGCAACTTTCATTGTCCACGAAACGAAGGGTGCATTTCAAGGCCACATTTTAAGGAGATTTTGATTTGGGACAGCCCTTGTTGTGCTGTGGTGGCACAATGGACTTTGAGTGTAACATTTTATCTGAAATTCCTTTCCATGTGAACAGATCAATGAGGGTGAGCTTGGCCGTCATCCTCCACTTTGCAGTCTGCATCATCCCTGCATTATTTCAATCCTTCCTTTTCCTCCCTCAGGTACAAGAACAATGTCACCATTGATCCCATGTCCAAGCCAGGAAAGTACAAATTGGAGAGCAGCTATAATGTCCACTCCCTGGAGATTAACAGGTGAGCACACATGGACTTCAAAGTGCACAGTCAAAATGATTTGCAATGGTTGTGTGAGTAACACATATGTCTCTAATTCAAGGTGTGATTTTGATGACACTGCACAATATCGAGTGTCAGCCATGAACAGCAAGGGCGAGAACTCTGCTTTTGCTTCTGTTGTCGTCAAAAGTAGGTCTGAAATAAATCATCCAAAACTCTTATTTATACCGTCCTAGAACACTAAACAATGATTGCAACTACATCCAGTAGTTAAAATATCAATCCAGAGAATTACTATCCCTAACTACTCAATACTCAATACAAAAATTGCATTTTTTGTGATATACATTTAATAAATAGGTCCATTTTGATCACAAAGCAGAATCCTGTTAAGCATTATACTCCATTTCATTCAAATGAAAAAATTGTATGTTGCCACACTCTAAAAACAAATGTTTTGCCTAAAAAAATAATAAATAAAATAAAATGTAACAGTTTGCATCAATCTTTTTGAAATGTAAACTTCTAATAAAATTATGTTCAATCAACAAACTACATTAAGTTAGAGGGACATAATTATATGTAGCATAAACACAATTTTTAAGTTGTTTTTTACTAAAAAGTTGTTACTTTAAGTTGTAAAAATTAAGTTGTTCCAACTAGCTTAATTTACTTCAATAGAGCGGTGGCCGTAAAACCAGTTGATCATCTCTATTTAAATTAAAATCAACAGCTAACATATACAGTAGATCATTCCAAATTTAGCTTGTAAATTTAAAGAATGTGCAAGTTATTAACAAGTTATAGCAAGTTATGTCATTGGCACTTGCGCGTTCATTGCTCAGAGCAATATACAATATAGTCTTTGTATAGAGTGCCGAAGTGATGACATCATTTTGTAGGACAACTCGGAAGCTAGCGGCGCATGAGTTCCCTCGATTGAAAAGCATTTTCCCCATAGACTTTTGGAAAATCGCAAAAAATAAGATCTGTGTTTAACAAAGAGTTGTGACCCTTACACGTTTTGTCTATCAAGATAATCTTTACAAGTTAATCCAAAATGTATACATTTTGAAACCCTAAAGTTTAAAAAAAAAAAAATACAAGCAGACACAATAAAGTTTAAAAAAACACAAGCAGGTTATAACTGTGTGTTCTATGTCATAGATCAAAACGTGAAAATATTTAGAGGCCTTGTTCACCACAGACCTTATTTCAGGCGATTTAGCAAAAACCCATTCAAAAATCCCATAGACTTGAGAGCGAGGGAACCGGGAGTGTTAAAATGCTAACTCACTTCCGCGTTTTGGCCTACAGAGTGACGTCGTAACTTCGGCACTCTATTGCCACCCCCACAATCGAGCTCTATACTCTTCAGCAAAAAGTTAGCATGAGATTTATGAGAAACAAATTAGCATGAGAACGCAATTCCATGATTACTGCATCGATAGGAGATACGGACGATGCGCAAATTAACAAAGTTAAGTGAACTAAAATAGGGCCAGTTGCATCAACTGATAAGACTTACAAGTTAGATGCATTTTCTTTAAAACGGTTCATGCCTTTTTTATGTCAGTTACACAAAAATGCAGATTGGTCTAATTTGATACCGAAAAGTACGTCTGATTACCCCAAACTAACTGCTTGTTGGTCATATTAGTTCTTTAGATACAGTCTTAACATAGTGGCAATGTTTATGCACTGTTACTGGCCCCAGATTATATCAAATTGAACTTAAACTGAATGAGTTCAATCCAATAAAGTCATCAAGACAATTAATTAAAAAAAAAATCTATTAACACAGACATTTCAGTTTAAATTACATCTAATATTAAGAACAGAGCTCATCAAATAATAATGTTTGCAACTTTTAGAGTAGAAAATAACCTTTACTTTCTGTTTTCATTACATGCATTTAATATGTAATTATTTGGTGGAGCTCCTTGTAATTTAATCTGAAGTCATTTGAATGCTGCTGACAATTTTCTTTAGAAGGAATAGTTGGCAAATGGATCATTCCCAGTTATTTGATAAAACAGAAAAAAATCTCTCTTCTCTTGTGTGATTTGATGTTTAGGATTCAAAGGAGAATTTGATAATGCTCTGCCATCTCCCAGACTCCGTAAGTCATTCAAAATAAAATCAAATTCAAGCTGATTTCTTTTATTTCACAGTTAATGTATGTGCTTTGCTTAAGTGTGTGAAGCTTTGAGCATGAGACTAAAGTTTTTAATGGCAGCTGGCTAACGGCTATTTTGTCTCCAATTCGCTGGATACAGAAAGCAGAAAGGTCAGCTTTAAAGGTAACCTTGGTGAAGGTTTTTTTTGTTTGTTTGTTTGTAATGTTCTTGTCATGTTTTAGTTTCATCTGGTTTCCCTGATCATCTTAAGTGCATGATCGTCCCTTCTCATTGTTTTCTATCTTTGTTCATTTGATGAACATATTTACCGATTGTGTTTCAGGATTGGTTTGACGAGTTAGACACAATGCCCTGTTTTGAGAACTGACTTGATATTATTCACATATTAAAGGGGTAATAAATTGAAACAACAACAACAACAACAAATCATGCTTACTGTAATGCACATGTAAATCTAGATGTAATCGTACACTTCAACTTTCATTGTAAGTGCATTACTGTAGATGTTTTTGTTTGGTGTATTATTATTACGATATTCCTTCACTGCATAGTGGCGATAAAGAAAAAAAATGCTGGGTTGTTTTAACCCAACTTTGGGTCGAATATGGACAAACCCAAACATTGGGTTAAAAATATAATGTAAAATTTTAACCCAATGAGTTCTTCTCTAAAAGTTTTGACAAATGATGTGTATGTCACTATCTTATATAAACATCTTGTGTTTATTCTTTCAGTTTCCATTTCCTGTGTGTGTTTGTATATGTCTTCATGCATTCAGCATTGTTAATGCAAACACCCTTCATTAACATTCACTCTTCTCTTGTTGTGTCTTGTGTATTTTATGAATTTGGTGCCAATATTTCACTAAATGATGCCTGCTGTCAGTCTTCTTTCGAGTCTTGGTGTTAGATTATATAAATGTGAAAACCCTTCAGAGTAATAAATCATTGTACACATTGTACAATATGAATTGAATGTGTGTTTTATTAAACAAATGTGTCTATATGATGAATCCTGGAGCCAATCTTATCCAACAACATTGAATTTTCATAAAATAATACTGGATTTAATATGTGTGTGTACTGCAGCACCATGTCTGGAGTATGGTGTGACATTCGAGACACACATTGTGGAGAAGTTTGGTGTGTCTTTTGGACGTGAGGGTGAGACGTTGAGTTTGGGCTGCTCTGTTATCATCTACCCTTCACTGCAACGCTTCCAGCCTGAGATCGAGTGGTACAGAGATGGTAAGTCTGCGAGAAAAATTATAATAAGCCCTCATAAGATCTTTTGCAAAAATTAATGTAATCAGATAATATTGCTAATAAAAAAATAAAAATATTTTAAAAAGATAATATTGGTAATATTGGGTGATTCTGATATCAATTTATCATTACATATCTAATCTTTACTTCTTGTAAATTGGTGCATTACACATACCAGTCATAAGTTTGGAATAAGTAGGATTTTTTTTATGTTTATGAAAGATGTCTCTTATTTTCACAAAAGCTTTAAAACAGCAATATTGTAAAATATTATTAAAATTTAAAATAAATGTTTTCTATTTAAATGTATTTTAAAATATAATTTATTCCTGTGATGCAAAGCTGAATTTTCAGCATCATTATTCCAGTCTTCTGTGTCACATGATTCTTCAGAAATAATTCTAATATGCTGATTTGACACTCAATTATAAATTATTATTGGTGCTCAATTATTAATAATGATTTTTATTATTATGTTGATAACAGTTTTTGCTGCTTGATAATTTTGTAGAAATCGTGATAACATTTAATGAAAAAACAGCATTTATTTGAAATAGGAATTTTAACATTTTAAATGTCTTTACTTCACTTTTTATCAATTTAATGAGTCCTTGGTGAATAATAGGATTGTCTTTTTTAATCTGACTTACCCCAATTTTTACCCCAAAAATATTAAGCAGCCCAACTTTTTTCAATATTGCTAATGATAAGAGTTGTTTCCTTGAGCAGAAAATCAACATATTAGAATTATTTCTGAAGGATCATGTGACACTGAAGACTGGAGTAATGATGCTTTGATCACAGGCATAAATTACATTTAAAAAATATTTTATAACTAATTTCACAATATTAATGTTTTTTATTTGTCAAATAGATGCAGCGTTGAAGATAAGAGACTTAATTATATCAAACTTTTGATGGTACAATTTCTTTTAAATACCTAGCCTAAATGTATTTTCCGCTTACCCTGCAGTGCTTACTATTGCTACCTTGAGATTCATAATGCATGGATATGTTTGTGTGTCAGATAAACTGCTGGCGCCATCAAAATGGTTTCAGACGCACTGGAGCGGCGACAGAGCTACACTCACTCTCACACACCTCAACAAGGAGGATGAGGGGCTGTACACACTTCGTGTCATAACCAAGTCTGGCTTTGAGACACATTCTGCATATGTCTTTGTCAGAGGTGAGGACTACTAAAGTGAACTATTTCTAACTCAGCCTGCTACATTATTGCAAGCCACTTTATTCATACTGGTAATACAGTAACTATGTGTTAAATGAAGGCTACAGTACTATTACAAATAGATGTAAATAGGGGTGGTGATGATGGCGCTGTGGATAAGACACATGCCTTTGGTGTGAGAGACCCGGGTTCGAATGCGAGACACCAATGTGTCCCTGAGCAAGACACTTAACCCCTAAGTTGCTCCAGACGAGTGCGACCTCTGACATATATAGCAATTGTAAGACGCTTTGGATAAAAGTGTCAGCTAAATGAATAAATGTAAACGTAAATATTAAAAAGTGCGGTTTTTGCGTGTGTTAAATAACGGTATGAACTGGCAAGTATCAAAACAAGTGCACATTTCACCCTTGAATTATTGATATATTTACTGGTATTGTAGAAATCCACTAATCAATTTGATTCTTCCTCAATGAGCAAAATTATAATTTTGTTTTTATAGATTTTGTTATTTTATATTGCAGATTTTCAAAATATTCTAAATTATTACAGATTGCTGTAATATCACAATTCGTTACGTGCTAATTGTTTTACAAGAAAAAAAGCATTAAACTAACTCTTTTGGCTTGTACTGTGTGTGAGTTTCGCATGTCTCTCTGAGCCTCCCTTCACAGTTCATGTTTCATTCTAAATTTATCCTTGTCGTCCCGTGTCTATGCTGTCATGACATTCAAATGAAGGAGTCACACTTAACACTTCCCAAGAGTAGTTGCAATACACTTTTTAAAACTTGAATTGCATTTAGATTTTAATTTGGTAACCCTTTATTTTAAGGTGACGTAGTTACATTGTACTTACTTAAGTAATATTAATTAATTACGTTTAATTAACTGTACTTACCAAAGAGTTACGGTTAGGGTTTGGTTTAGGGTTAGTTAATGTATTTATGAATAATTCAATGTTATTCCTATAGTAAGTGCATGTAGTAATGTGTAACTACCTCACCTTAAAATAAAGTGTTAATACTTTTAAGAACAACTTAAGTACAAATGTATATGCGATTAACATCTCTATTGAAAATTGAATGTCATGTATATGAAATAGATTTGTTAAATTTAGTATTTAGTACATTTAAAATATGTTAACTTTAAATGTAATATTGAATAACACACTACAGTTAAATTATAATAAAGTGCTTTAGTTTGTTAGTCAACACTTTAATGAGTGTACTTCTTTAAAGCACGACAACATGAAGTTTTATGTAACAAAGTTCAGGAGGAGCACGTTCAGGTAATCAACCAATCAGCACAAGAGGAAGCCGGTATAAATATAGCCTTCCCTCACCTCTGTCCCATGACAGTTTCACAGCATCCCTCCACCACCCCATCGCCTCACTCTCGGCTGGTTTCTATCCCAGTAAAGGGAGTACTCTGGGCTCGGGCCAGATTTCGAGCTCGGAGCCCTCTCCTGGACAGCACGCCAAATACATATAAATTACTACATCTGATTTCATGTATGTGTGAAGTTGTGAAATATTATTAAAACATAATGATTTTAAAGTATCACTTTTAAAAAGCGTGGCCTTTTATTTCAATTACAGTTCAATTAAGTGCACATTCAATACAACTAAGTGCACTTCTTTTTCACAAGTAGATGGCATGTGACATTGTGAATTTGAACTAATAGTACATGTTTAAATGATTCAATTGTTGAAATGATTCACTTCATTTTATTTGTGTGTTTGCTAGATGCTGATGGTGAGGTTGCTGGTGCTCCTGGTGCTCCTTTAGATGTATATTGTCAGGATGCCAATAAGGATTATGTCATCGTTACCTGGAAACAGCCTGCTGTGGACGGCGGAAGCAGCATTTTGGGCTACTTTGTTGATAGGTCACTGCATCTGTATAAAAAATATCACACACAATCATAAAACATCTAAAGTAGACAAAATGAAGATATTAGCCATAAATTATGTATATTGTAAATCAGGTTTTCTACTCTGGGAATGAAGGTCAACATTTCCGCAGGGTTCAGTTCCAACCCTAATCAAGCACACCTGAACAACCTAATTAAGGTTTTCAGGATTACTAGTAAAGTTACAGGAAGTTAACACAGTTTTCAGTGTACTCTAAATGCTTTGATCAAGTGTGGAGCTAAGATGTTTACATTCGTAACCGAAATGTTTACATTCGTAACCGAGATGTTTACATTCGTAACCGAGATGTTCCCTTTTGCTATGCTCATTCGTCGTCATCCGACGGAACTCGGAGTGACAACGAAGGGGAACAACGAAGGGGAACATCTCAGTTACGAATGTAAACATCTCGGTTACGAATGTAAACATTTCGGTTACGAATGTAAACATCTCAGTTACGGATGTAAACATCTCAGTTACGGATGTAACCCTCGTTCCGAATGAGGGTTACATCCGTGACCGTTGTTCCCCTTCGTTGTCACTCCGAGTTCCGTCGGTAACCGAGATGTTTACATTCGTAACCGAGATGTTCCCTTTTGCTATGCTCATTCGTCGTCATCCGACGGAACTCGGAGTGACAACGAAGGGGAACAACGAAGGGGAACATCTCAGTTACGAATGTAAACATCTCGGTTACGAATGTAAACATTTCGGTTACGAATGTAAACATCTCATTTACGGATGTAAACATCTCAGTTACGGATGTAACCCTCGTTCCGAATGAGGGTTACATCCGTGACCGCTGTTCCCCTTCGTTGTCACTCCGAGTTCCGTCGGTAACCGAGATGTTTACATTCGTAACCGAGATGTTTACATTCGTAACCGAGATGTTTACATTCGTAACCGAGATGTTCCCTTTTGCTATGCTCATTCGTCGTCATCCGACGGAACTCGGAGTGACAACGAAGGGGAACAACGAAGGGGAACATCTCAGTTACGAATGTAAACATCTCGGTTACGAATGTAAATATTTCGGTTACGAATGTAAACATCTCAGTTACGGATGTAAACATCTCAGTTACGGATGTAACCCTCGTTCCGAATGAGGGTTACATCCGTGACCGTTGTTCCCCTTCGTTGTCACTCCGAGTTCCGTCGGTAACCGAGATGTTTACATTCGTAACCGAAATGTTTACATTCGTAACCGAAATATTCCCTTTCGCTATGCTCATTCGTCGTCATCCGACGGAACTCGGAGTGACAACAAAAGGGAATTGTTTGTGCATCTTACCATTTCATTTAAACGACAACAGAGTTTTGGAGGACTGAAAATACTAACATTTTTCAAAAGGGGTTTGACAGTGCATGTTTTTGAAAACGATACCATTATTGTCTCGGTGTAAACTTCAAAAAATGCAAATTTGTGAAAACAGTGACGTTATGCGCATGCCGAAAAACGATTATTTTTTCTTCCATTTTTAGTACATCGTTGTTGCGTAAACGTACCCTAAATCTCAAATCACTGGAAAATCAGCTAGAACCACCAAACATGGAGTTTTCTAAAATTATGATTTTGAACAATTTTAGAGACAAAATGTACGCTGTAGGCTATACAGTGTCCTCACAGCTGTAGCTAATCTTCTATAAATTTACAACTGTTCTGGTTCTTATCAAATAAAATGCGGCTAATCTCACAATTCTGAAAATTTTCTTGCAATTTCTAAGTTTTGTGAAATTAAGTTTCTAAGTTTTGTTAAAATGAAGTTACAATTACAATTTAATTGTGAGTTTATGTCTCACAACTCTGAGAACTAAGTCAGAACTGTATATTATAAACTCGCAATTGCAAGAAAAAAGTCAGAATTGTGAGATTAAATGTCGCAATTGCTTTTATTTTCTATTCTGTGGTGAAAACAAGCTTCCATAGGATCTAGACCATTTCTTGACTGGTTTTTTTATTGCTTGTTCACAAACAGCCCTGCTTTCTGTTTTTTTTTTTTTTTTTTTTTGTAACATCAGATTGTATTTCTTCATGCATTAAATTTTATTTTCCTTTATGACCTTTCTCCTGTGTAGGTGTGAGGTTGGCACTACACACTGGGCACAATGTAACGACACTCCTGTTAAGTTTGCACGTTTCCCTGTTACTGGTCTTGTGGAAGGACGAAGCTATGTGTTCCGCGTGCGTGCTGTCAATAAGGCTGGAATGAGCCATCCATCCCGTGTCTCTGAACCAGTAGCCGCTATGGACCCTGCAGACCGCACACGAAAAGGTAAACAGACTGGCACGGCAAATACACAAAAACAAACTGAAAACAAAACAAGCAGTACAACATACTTTCTTTCTCTAGGTGCCTCTGCTCCTTGGACTGGACAAATAATTGTAACTGAGGAAGAACCTGTGGGTGAGGAGCTTGGACAACTTTTTTATCCAATTCAAATGTTATTTTTAATGATGACCAAAAAAAACAAAACATTTGTTCATCCTTAAAACTAAAAAGTTTCAAGGTGTAGGATAAGAATTAAGAATCTTTATAAATATTGTTTGTCATTATTTCGATGTTAAGTCTTTATAATGACAAAGTTCGTCATTATTACAAAAAAGGAATTATCTCTTTATATCTTTTGTTAGTATTATATCTTAAAGAGTCATATTTTTAGTTGTAGTGGAGAATGTCTTCCATTTGGAATCACTTTGAAATTATTTTTAAAAATCCTTATACAGCGATCAAACAACTGGAAATGTGTGTTGGTCAAATACTGTACCTGTATTTTTGACATGTCCTTGATATATCCATTGGATTCTCTTTGACCACACCCCAGTTAATTTCTTAAAACTGATGAATTACACTACAGTACCAATATAAAATTATATTTTATCCTTAATTAATTTAGAGGGAGTGGTTCCTGGCAGACCATGTGACCTCACTGTCATTGAAGCCACTAAAAACTACGTGGTGTTGAGCTGGAAGCCTCCTGGCGATAAAGGCCATGAAGGGGTTATGTATTACGTGGAGAAGGTCAGTGCACAAAAATCAATTGATAAAGCTTTAGTGATTTTTAAAGCAACACTATGTAACATTTTTTACCTTAAAATAATGTTTCCAAAATCTTATCAGTGGTTCATCAAGTCGTAACAGGGTGAAAGGCACTTCTGCCATGGCCTGACGGGGTCGGTATCGCTTTTACTGGCACTGCGTAACTCCGTGGTTTGGGTAGTAACCCGACCACAAAAAGAACTACAAAATTCGACTGCTTTACGTCAAGCATTACAATAGTCATTATTTAGTTTTTCTTCGTTTCTGATGTCGCAATACATCATCCTTTCATGAAATCATGTAACACTCTACCTTGTCTGTGAACATCGTTCATTCCAAAGCCGGTGCTGGATAAACAACAAGCGCGCGTGCGACGGAAGCCTAAATTATTTACGACAGCGGTAATGGACAATTTCGTTTCCAACCAGTAGGGCGACCAAAGAGGAAAAGTTCCATGGTGTTGCTTTAAGGGAATAGGCCTTGAGTGATACAGTATGTTGTATTTTTTCTTTGGTTTAGCAATAATATCTCTGTGTGTGTGTAGTGTGTGTCTGGCACAGACAGCTGGCAACGAGTGAACACTGAAATCCCTGTGAAATCTCCACGATTTGCTCTTTTTGATCTGGCTGAGGGCAAGTCTTACTGTTTCCGCGTTCGTTGCTGCAACTCAGCTGGCGTTGGAGAACCATCAGATCCAACAGAAGCCACCACAGTTGGAGACAAGCTGGGTATGATAAACACAACATCCTTCAATGAAAATGTGATGTTTTTAATGAGTTTATCTTAAAAATAAAAGTTCTGTATTGCCATTTATGGTTCCATGAAAAACCTTTAACATGCATTGAACCTTTTCCATTGCACAAAAGGATTTTGTTTTTGTTTTTACTTTTAAGAAACCTAAAATGGCCCTTCTGCAAAAACACACTTTTGGAACCTTTATTATTTAGTTTATTGTCTCTTTAAAATACTAAAATATTATGTTAATGTTTTATTATGCAGCTCTCTGGAATATGCTACTTGATTGTAGTTGGTGTATCGTTTAGCATTCCTGCTCATCTAGATAACTAAAAACATGCACAACAGTCATCTCATATCTTAATATCTTGTTTCATACTAATGCAACTAGTGACATCTTGTGTTATAATTTCTGATGATTATAAAAAATTGGATGACAATGTAATTGATTTTTTTTTCTTAGTGGAATATTTTCAAAAGTGGATTTTTTTTTAGGATATTACATGTATGATTTAAAAAAAAATCAACTCAAATAAATATTTCATGTCCAATTAATTATATATTTGGTGAGTAGTCATGTAAAGATTAATGTTAAAATTGTTTAAAAATTATCCCTATAACTCGACTCCAATTATTTATGTTAGCCTTTACTTTACCAAGTAGCTTTTAATTTTCATCTGGATATACCATTAACTCATTATTTACCATAAATTTGTAATATTGTATTAATTATATTATATTATACACTCCAAAAAAGGTCTTATCTGTTTGCATTAGTTAAAACATTAACTAATATGAACTAACAATGAGAAAAATATCTTTACAGTATTTAATAACCTTTGTTAATTTTTGTTCAAAAAGTTCATTTTCAAAGTGCATAAACTAAAGTTAACAGATAAAACTTTGAATTTCAAAAATGTAGTAGTAAATTATGAGATTAACATGCACCAAGATTTAAAAAATGCTATAAAATTATTGATTGTTGTCAGTTCATATTAACTAATATTATTACAGTAATGCTAACAAATTAAACCTTGTTATATTACAGTATTAAATTATATTATAATTACAGCATGCAGATAAATGTTGCCTGAACTTGAATATAATTCTATTACAGTGTAAATAATGTGTAATGGTGTAATACACTTTTTTGTTACCTGCCACCAGATATCCCATCAGCCCCTGGCCGTGTGGTGCCTACCCGCAATACAGACACATCTGTGGTGGTTTCATGGGAAGGGTCACGTGAAGCTAAAGAGCTGGTGGGCTACTACATTGAGAACAGCATTGTGGGCAGCAATACTTGGGAGCCATGCAACAACAAACCAGTTAAAAGCACAAGGTATAACAACACATCGAGTATAATTAATAATTCAGTTGAATTACACAGTCTTGTTGTAAAATGACTGTCAACTAGCAAGTGCGTTCTGCGCCTGTGTGTAAGTGTATATCTGTCTATGGCAGGTTGCAATATTCTATTTTCATCATTTAAAAAGGGAAACCGAAACTATCACTGAAGATATACAAACCGTTAAAGGGGACATGCAAAATCCACTTTTTTAGCCCTTAAATGCATTTTGTTGTATATTTGGAGTGTTTATAAGTACAGAAAAGATGAAATTACTCTCTTCAGGTGCTTCGTTTATATTTTTATATTCTGTTTTGGTCATATTTTTCAACCTGTTCAGATTTTTCTGTTCTCTATGACGTTTTTTTGAACAAGTACGTCACCGTATTTGCAGCGGAACTGACAAATAAGGACATTGACTATACCGGCCCAACACTTCGAGCAATCCGCCATTATTATTTCTCGCTCCGATTTTGTAGTCCAAGCTCAATGATGCAGAGGGCAAGTCAAAATGTACGGTTGTTGGATGTAGTGACCTGAAGCACTTCAAGGATCTCCACTTCAACAACCTCCGCCAGTATAAATAAGGGTTTGCCGATTGACTTCGTCTGAATGAGGGGTAAATTCCTTCTATCATTTAGCTGCTGTTTTTGCTGATGCTTTTCTAAACGTAAGTTATCATATTATCAATACAGATTTTTAGTGGTAAGATTAGACCGTAGTCATTTATCTCGTCAGTGTGCTTGTTTTAACAAGAGAAAATAGTCGACTTTCACTAATAACACAACATAGTTAACTTAACTTACATATTACTGCATCCATATGATGACGTTGTTCTGCAGACTCGTCGTCGTCTTTATCAACTCGCTCGCTCTGGCTCGAATATGTAAGGCTTGATGGACAAGTCTTCCGTTGTTGACATTTTGTTAACGTGTGAATAAAAATGTTCTTTGAAGCTATAGCAATCGTATACAATGGCGCCACCAGGGGGTGGCCAGGGGTGGCCATGGCCACCCCTGGCCGACTCCTGGCCACCCCATTGGCCACCCCAATGGCCAGTATTAATTTTTGTAGCATCAGTTATGCATTTTATAAATAAGTCAAAAATATTCTTAAGTAAAAGAAGACGGGGAATTATGTGTCGTGACGTGCTTTTTAAGTGCCAAATGGTATACTGTTACAGCAGCTTTTTAGGTGTGTTTTTGCCACGTTTGGACAGGCAGGGATGCAAACAGCGCGCTTTTCGGCGCCTCCCGCTTTTTTCACGTCAGTTTGGGTGACAAAGTCATCTGAAGTCATTCCATAGCTTATTGTGAGGGACAGAAGTATATTTACATCATTAAAGTATAAACTCGTTTTCCCTCCTCTGCGGCTGTCAATCATTCTCCATTCATATTCAAACAGCACGCGCGCCTCTTGGATGCACGGTAAAACTCTCTCCAATATGATATATTGACATTATAAATGCATGATCTGTAGATAAAAGTCTGTATATTCGCATAAAATTACTTTATTTTCTTGGAGTTTGTTGCTGTTTTTAAACGACTCACTACCGTGTTCTGTTAGATCACACATACATATCACAAGGATTATGAATCGGCATCAAACGCATAATAACTGTGAAACAAAGGAACAAATCGCACTAGGATTATTTTGTGCGCTCAACATTTCTTCGATGATTTGTGACATGAGCTTTTAAATGCGCACTTATGAAGCGCAGTGCTGCTGCACACTGACTCCATGTTGCTTTGAGCACATCATTCTGCACCCGCGATGCGCATACATGCTGTGTGCTCGCTGTTTTTCATGTAATCATTTGCGCACTGAAATATTATTAAAAGCCAATATATTTTGTTATACCTAGCCTGCTCAATACATTTTAAATAAGCATAATTTAATTGTATATAATTTATTTGTAGTTTAGGCTATGCACTTCTGAATTCTTGACATTAATATAGGCTATAAATATAAAATTGTGACATGATTGCCTGATTGAATTTTAAAAGAGAACTAATAGTAATTTTTTTTTATTAACATATTTAGATTTTATAAAATTACTGTGCAGATTTTTTCAAGAATTACTTTTTGCTGCTGATGTACACTCATTAAGTGTATTAAAAATTCATAATACATTTATGTAATATTTAAAGGTGTTAACTGTAATCTTACACTGCAAACTAATAACTTAAACATGATTAAATTCATCACAATTATGTAAGTATCTGGAAATTTGCTGTGGGGCAAGGACCCTTATATCATATAATATATATCATTATATACAATGTAATATATATTAGTTGGGCCCTACTAATATCATTAGTAACATTAAATATTACACAATAAACCAAAGTATATCAGTAGGAGTTTCCTTAAGTCTTTCTGATAGTTTTCTACAGGCTGGTTTATTACAACAGTAGAAAACAATTCTGAAATTATGGTTTATACTGTAGTTTTGGTGTGCCACCCCAAGATTTTAACTGGCCCCATCTGGCCACCCCTACGAAAAATTTCTGGAGGCGCCACTGATCGTATATCTCTTATCAAACTACAATAATGGCCGAACGGGGGGAGTTGAACCGAGTGTGAACTCATCGACCTGAAGAGTGGGCGGGGTATGACGCATCTCCTTTTTATTTAAAGGGGACGCTTCGAAACGGGTTGCTCACAGAAGCACATCAGAAAAGGGGTAGAAAAGGGGCCTGTTGAGCTATAATAATGAGAAATTCAGACCCAAGAATTGCAGTTATGCTTTATATAGACCACAAATGTATGATTTATAAGTAAAAATGAATGATTTAAATTTTAAAAGCTTGATATGTACCCTTTAACAAAGCAGCGCTTGCTTACCATTTGGAATATCAATCATGCTGATCACTTTTATAATTCCAGGCGGCTCAAGCTATTATGAAAATATCAATGCATTTGAATGTTTATATAGATGACGTAAAATTATAACAGCCTTCTGTCTGTCCCGTCTTCGCTCGCTTTCATCACTTTCGCATTTATTCTTGTGCACTGACTCGTTCGCTTGGCTGAACAGCCAGAGTTCTCTCTCTCACCGACGGCCCAGCGCCGATTCGACATGCTAAATCAGCCCAAAATACCCAGATGGTGTCCGACTAGAACCAAAACCGGAAAAAACTAAGCCGACCAATATGAAGTTACTGTGCTGGCGTTCTATCAACTAATGCTGCCTATCAGATTATACGGTGTTCTGCCTTTTGTTTTATTCTCCATTCAAATTGAAATTATGATGTAGCCTGTGTACTTTGTACAGCTTCCATCCGTCCCTTTAACTTCTGATGTCCTCAGAGCTTTGTCCTGAATAATGCGGTCAGAACAGTTAGTATGCTCTTAACCCGCTCCATCGTCAAATGTGCGATATCGATCGCGAAGGATATATGCAGAGTTGACAGAAAAATGCACTCACGTGCCGTCGCAGGTCAATGCAAAAAATATCTAAAGCGCCGCCTCACGCAGTTCGGGTACCGGACCTAGTTGAAAACAATCATGCGTCTAGCTGGCAGAGTGCCAAAACTTCCACGACTCTTTTAGCTCCACCCTGAACATGGTCGAGCCGACGCGGGACTAATATATCACAGGGAGTGATAATAATGAAGCAACAAGGGTATATTGGTGCATACAACATAATGAATCAAGAAGTGCTGGTTCATTAGCCTGACTTCGTCATACTCATATTCAAGAAAGAATATGAGTCTGAAACTCCTCCATTGGGCTTTGATTATGAAGCGTGTCGTAACCGAACCAGGAAAAAAAAATCCCTCTGCACTCAATTAGATAGTCGGTAGACCTACAACCAATCAGAGCAACGCATAAGTCAACTCCTTTGCATAGCGCAGTTTTCAAATACAGAACGTAGCCTGCTTTATTTATTTTAGAAGTTAAATAACAAGTGTTGCTTCTTTTACTTACTTCTCCATGAGTGCCACCAAAGGAGAAACCACAACGACCACAGGCTTTTCATTACGTCCCATCTTCTTAACGACCGTCAGAGCCAGCTGATAAGTTACACTTTTCCCGAATCATGTAGGAAGGACGCCAAAAATATCTTTCTGATCGACAAATACCTT